CAGTATCAAGCTGGGCTCAGCGAGGCAATGCCTCCTGTGGGATAAGGAAAAATCAGGGTGCTATTTAGAAATCACCAGCTGCCTCTCAAAGGGAAAGCAGGATTGGAGAATAGGATACAGGTCTACATTTAAGCCTAAATTAAACTTTTTTACCCAAGCCTGGTTTGGCAATCGACTTTGAAGTCAGAACGGTTAAGTGTTTGTCTCTACTGCCAGCACAAGGGTGACCAAGGAAAGCCGAGTGAAGTTGCATGTTGGTGGCAAACATCTTGATCTGAGTGTCACTTGAGCTACAAGGGCAGTAGCCCTGGACCAAGCCCTGCTACCTCCAGATCTAGTTTTGCTGGCAGGGAAGGGCTGGAATAATGCAAAACATCCCCACTTTTTATGAAATTCTAGGTTTTGCAGAAGGATCAGCCAGCCTCCACCTACTTCTGCTCACTCAAGTTCAAGCACTCTCGGCTCCACAACATGCGAGAGAGAGACCAGTGCTACCAGTGCTAAGTGTCCAGAACAGCAGCGGGCTGCAGAGGACCGCGACAGGAACCCTTAATGTTCCTTCTACAAACTGCAGGAAAAATAAAGCCAATGCCCCTTCTGCTTCCTCCTCCCACCATCCTGGTCTCTGACCGTCCAGATTCCAGATGAAGCAGGAAGCATTAATGAGGTGGGAACAACAGCACCCCGGGAGATTTCTAACCCAGCTCCGCGGAGGCAAGGATCAGAGTTTTTGGTGCCTCCGAACCCACTATCAGTGTCCCGTGTCAGTTCTTCTGCAGCAGTTTTCTACCACAGAAGAGCACTTGGACCCTGAAATCTCAGGAATGAAACCACTGGCTTAAACTGGAATTCAGACTAAGAATAGAAGCATTGACTAAAAAGTATTTTTTGGCCAAGCAAAAGAAACTCAGATTTTACAAACAATCTTACTCAGCAACAGATTGTAGCAAACACTATAATAAATCCAAAAGAGATTAGGAAACCAAACAGAAGTACTGCAGTCTCAGACACGGCCAGCTTTGAAGGCTATATTTGGATCCAAATCTAAACAGGCTCAGAGCTGGGATCCAATCTCTCTTTCCCCATTTTAGTTTCAGAAGCACCTGTGGGAGAAATACCTCCTGGCTGTTTGTCTAAATAGAGAGTGGATTGTCGTCTTCTGATATTGCTACAGCACCTTGCACATCATGAGCTCTACTGTCCTGAAAGTAACAGTTCTCAGTATGGGGAGACCATGTAAGGCTTGTGCTTTATACTGTAAGCGAAGGATAGGGTGGGTGGGCACTGGGGAGATGCCAGTTAGGAGCTGCATGTAAACCGTGGGTGAATTCACTGCTAAGATACGAAAGGGCAAATTCTAGCCTGGTGGCTTTGGGTCCTACCAGGTTGAGGCCAGGGCTGTCTGCTGATGGTCCAGTGGGAGTAGAAAATCCAAGAAAAGGACTTTATCAAGACAGGCTTCTTTACTGCAGGAGATTCAGGTTTGACCCTCTCTGCAGAGCTTCCCCTTTTATTCCCAGATCAACTGTTTTTTCCTTTTTGCATCATCCTTTTCTGTAGGACTAGTCTACACCATGGCAGTGGTGAGTCCCAGTGTGGAGAGGGCTGTAGCCCTCTTGCACCCTACGCACCTGTGTTACCTAGGCAGGCTCCAAGCCTGGGAATTTACTAGGGAAGCAGCCCTCTGCCCCACTCTCCAGCCCTCAGTCTAAGGTGTGCCCAAAGGAAGCTACTAAAGACAAGCCCAGCATGGCCTCACTGCCAAACTTCTGGGTTTGGAGTGTGCTGGCAAGGGTGGAGGAGCAGGGCATAGGGTGGGTGCACTCAGGGTAGGGTGCACTCGCTGGTAGGGACCACGTTCTCCGTGAGATCTCTTGTGGCTTGTCTATACCGTGCTGGCAACAGGTCCCAGCAAAGAGACGGCTGTGGTTCAATCCAGCAAAGAGCCGGGACCTGTTGCCACCATGGGGTAGACAAGCCACAAGAGATCTCACGCAGAACGTGGTCCCTACCATACTAGGTGCTGCCCACACATGCACAGTAAGAGGCAGCCCAAGTCCTGACAATTGTACACTCTAAATATAGACGGCAGGTAGGTGACAGGTAGCCTCACGTATCCCTTTGACAGAGAGATTTAAAGGCCAGATTTTCAGATATGATTGCTCTTCTGAGTGCTGAGCTCTTTTGACGCCGTAGCTCCAGTGGGCTTGCCCCAAGGTCACACAAGAACTCTGTGGCAAAGCTGGATTGAACTACGGTCTCCAGGGTCCCAGACCAGTGCCTGGACTATCAGAAGACATCCCGCAGGGGTAAATCTGGGGTCAGCTGCAGTGGTGCAGCTGCACCCCTCTGATTCCAGCTCCACCCAGACTTTAAAATCAACTACCTGGGAGGGGCAGCAGCATTTCTGTTTAAGTAAGGCTGAGCAAGTCAATTGACTTTATGGCTCATTCTGACCCTGATCCTTGTTAATCTCTCTCCACACCACAGGTGTTAACACACCTCTCCTTTTTAATGGCACTGATCTTCCACTATTCAAACTATTCTTTCTTCCGCAGTGTTGCTGTCCGTTCCTGGTAATGTCTTGTGTTCATTTTATAGCCCTGCAGACTGTTTTTAGCTCTAGTTAAAAACATTACCACACCCAAGTTGAGGTTAACTCCCATATATAGAAATGGCTGAGTGAAGCATTGGAGATGCTCAGGAAGGCTAGATTTGGTTTTATGAATTTGATTAAGAGATGTACATTTAATTGTAAATACCACAATGATACAATATCCTTTGAATACTTTTTGCCTAGTTTGTTGTGGTTTTTTTAAACTTTGCATACACTCTAGCAAATTAGTGTGCATTCCAATATTTATATTTGGGTGCCTATACAAGTGCTCTGACATGTTTTGATTAAAATGCAATTAATCGAGTCTGCTGGAGTGTTCCAATTAGAACGCTCCAGCCTGCTGCAGTGTCACGTGTATTCAGCATCTTGCATTTCCAAATGGCAGTGGGGGCGCTTTAACTAAAACTCTTTAAATGAGTTTTAGTTAAAGCTCCCCGCGGCCATTTCAAAATGTGGGATGCTGAATACATGTGACGCATCAGTGTTTGAGTTAGAGTGGCTGTCTGGGGGCTGCTCTAATTAAAATGCCCCCTCTACCCCAGAGCACAGGTATAGACACCCTTTGGGTTTTTTTGCTTTGATATTAAGCTAAATAATATAGTGCCAGCCCCCTACCATATTAGTAAAGCTTCTCGTTTCTCTTTAACTGGAGAAAAGTGCGTTATATGTGATGACATGCTACACCCCTCTTTTCAGAGCCCTAGATCTGCCTGTGCACCCAAGTTACAGAGAACTACATGCAAAACAATTTTCAATTCCAGTAAGAGACTGAATGGCCCAATCTCAAAACCTGCCAGAACCAAGTTGCAGTTAAACCTGTAAATCAAGAATGTCCCAAAGATTACACTGAAGAGCTGAAATAATAATAATAGTAATAAATAATAATTTGTCCTTCTCTGTTTCCCATCCAATGATCTGAAATCCCATTACAGACATTAACCCTAACAGCAGTTCTCAGCAGCAGGTATTAACCTGATTTTAAGAGGAAGGGAGAAGCAGGAGAAGCTACTTGCCCACAGGCTGTCACAGCTTGGCAGCATTTGGGTGCAGAACGCACCCCAACTCCCAGCTCCTCCAGGTAAGAATCTGGTCATGTTCCCTCCCGGCAGTCAAGACACAGCTTTTAAAAAACAACTGAGGTCAGAGGTGCATTTCAGACATAGTAGGAAGCAGCATTTTACAAGGCAGTTTAGTTTAGTTAAGTCAAAGATGTGTTTCTAGTCCATGAATATTTCCAAAGATGAATTTAAAAAGTCAACACAGACACAGTTGCTTTGATCTCTGGCCCTTTGCCACTTAAAACTGCTGAGTTTTTAAACAGCCAGCAGCCACAGCGCAACTTCCTAGCAGATAAGTGGAGAATGCAGCAGGAGTTTAAGGACGGAAACAAGGGCAAGGGGCCTCACAGAGACCAGCGCATGCAGTGCCCCAGCCCGTGAGAGGGTTTTTGTGCATGAGAACAAGCCTTTCCTAGCGCGGAACAGTATCAACTCACAGGTGGATCCCTCCTCCTTACACTCCCTGCAGGTGAGTCAGTCTCCGCTGCTCAGTACATTGTTGGAAGCTGCATGTCCCAGCACGAAGGTTGAAACTGCTTTGGTTTCAGCTCAGGCACATGTAGAGCTGGGATCCTGTGCCTGGCATTTAGCCGCTTGACATGTTCAGTAATGGGTTTGAAAGAATGATTAACACGAGCTGTATAACCACAGAGAGGGGGCCATTTCCTGAAAGGCAGCAGCGGTTTGGTATTGGTCATAGCTGCACAAAGCTTGCCCCGGCGAGGTTTCCTTTCACAGGCATCTCCCCTGCTAGCTAGTCATGATTCCTGAATGCTTCATTCAGGCCCCAGCAATGCAGCCGGAGAAAGAATGACAACCTTCATCCTTAGCACGTGCAGCACTGCACCAGCACCTGGGCTCTGGGGGCAGGAGGGAGAGTTCACAACCAGCATTTGCCATCATCCTGCCCGTCCAGTATCG